CTTCTGAATGGTGAATTTTTTAGGATGTTGATTTTTGAATGTCTTCTTTGCCCGTGGATGTTCCCTTTATAATAGCTTTATTTTTAATAACAGATACTGCTGCATTTTGTATAATTTAATATTTGCTATAATTTAATATTTGCCATTTGTGTGACTCTTCCAATCATAGAGATCAATTCCTCTACAAGTGTTTTTTGGTAAAAATATTGCTTTCTTTCAGAGATGTTTTTGTTTAACAGAATTTTAATTTTCTGTAGCCTGTAGATTATTTTATAAACTAGAGGATGAAGAGAACCTGATAAGGCCCTGGCCGGTTTGGCTTAGCGGTTAGAGTGTTGGCCTGCGAACCAATGAGTCAAGGGTTCGATTCTGGTCAAGGGCAAGTACCTCGATTGTGGTTCATCCCCAGACCTGGTGGGGGTCATGTGGGAGGCAGCCAGTTGATATATCTGTCTCACTTTGATGTTTCTCTCTCTCTCTTTCTGCCTCCCACTCTACCTAAAGATAAATAGAAAAATATCCTTGCATGAGGATCAACAAAAAAAAGAGAGAGAGGTCCTAATAAGGATAAAATAGTTCATTTCATTTATAGTTAACATAAATCACCTTCTTTACGTCTTAGGTATGAAGTATTCTGGTAACTTGGTTGCTTTAAATTTTGTGACCGTAGCATCTTTTAACACATTAAAAAAATTACTTCTATTTGCATTTTATAATTAATTCTTTTACCTTAATTATTAAAAAATAGTTTTACAGTATTCTATATCCTATGCTTTTTTAAAAAAGAGTAAATGGTAGGTGATATATGCGTGTATATAATTTTAAGAATACTGGTATATAGAAAAAACCATGTGGTGGAAGGTAATGATTTTATAAATCTTGACTTTTTGTGTTCAATTTTTTTGTGTAGAACTTACGTATGAGCTTGATGACTGAAATAGAAATCATTGAGACTTAAGGAAAGTGATCAGGCTTATTTATTCGTAACATAATAGTGCTGTTGAAATTTGAAACTTATCAGTGAGATCTAGGAACTAGAAATTTGGAAGTTAACCAGTGAGAACCTATCACATAATTCTGCCATGTATTTTTTTTTAACTTAATAGAGAAATGATAGGCACTTTATATATGTATTGGTTAGCTATTGCTGCATAATAAATTACTTCAGAACGTAGTGACTTAAAACAACAATATATTTATTATTGAACAGTTTTGTGTGTGTTAGGAATGTAGGGGCAGCTTAGCTGGGTCCTCTCTTCAAGATCTCTTACAGACTTTGAGATGGTCATCTGATAGGCTTGAAGAAAGGATTATCATTTCCAAGCTCACTCACCTCTTTGTTGAAAAGATTTACTTTCTCTCCAGTATGGCAGCTTGTTTCATCAAAGTATGACTACTGAGAAGATAATAGAGGATACCAGCAAAATGGAAGTCACTGTCTTTTAAAACGTAGTCATGGAAGTGACATCCCATTATTTTTGCTATACAGAATTTTGTTGTTAAAGGTGGAACCTCTTAATTTTGTGAGAATTTTAAAAATTCTTTTTGAGCCCTGGCCAGTTTTGCTCAGCGGTTAGAGCGTCGGCCTGCAGTCCGGAGAGACCCGGGTTCGGTTCCCGCTAAGGGCACGTACTTCGGTTGCAGTTTGTCCCTGGCCCTGGTTGGTCGTGCGGGTGGCAGCCACTCGATGTGTCCCTTCACGTCGATGTTTCTCTCTCTCCCTTACTCTCTCTCCCTTACTCTCTCTCCCTCCCACTCTATCTGTACAAAAAATGGAAAAATATCCTCGGGTGAGGATAAAAAAAAAAAAAAAATTCTTTTTGATAGGATGTTTTGTAGGTATGCTGCCTTTCTGTTTCTTTGCTTCAGTTTTTTCAGTCCCTCAAATAGGATTTCAGGTCCCCCTACTCCTCCCACATTTGACATTTAAAAGTATGCATTATATACTGGCAAAATTAAATTCCCTCCTGTTTCTTTTGAGGATACTAGATAGTATAGGCTGTCATATAGCTGTACTATTTTACTTCAAAGTGTCATAGGCTTTATTTGTTTCATACATTTCGAATGGGATTTATTTTGTCTGTATTGAATATTGAGGTGTTCAGCAGTGCAAAAGATAAGTTTAGAATCGAATCCAGTGATTCTCAAAGTATGGTCTTTGGTCAGCAACATCATCATCTCCCCTAGTTAGGGATGCAGATTCTCTGGCCCCACTCCAGACTTACTGAATCAAATTCTAGGTGAAGGACCCAGTAGTCTGTGTTTTAACAAACTCTCCAGGTGGGATGGTTGCTGAAGTTCCAAAACTACTACTCTATTCAGTTCTGTTAGAACTTGAACATTAACCCTGGCAGGTTTGGCTCAGTGGTTAGAGCGTCCACCTGCGGTCCAGAGAGACCTGGGTTCGGTTCCCGCTGGGGGCATGTACCTCGGTTGCAGTTTGTCCCCGGCCCTGGTTGGTCGTGCAGGTGGCAGCCACTCGATGTGTCCCTTTCACATCGATGTTTCTCTCTCTCTTCCTCTCTCTCCCTCCCACTCTATCTGTACAAAAAATGGAAAAATGTCCTTGGGGGAGGATAAAAAAAAAAGAACGTTACTTTTCTAAAAGCTTTTGGCCAATATTCGAAATTTTACTTTTTACTACTGTTACATAAGGCTTTCCAGGAAAATAAACATTTTTTTTCCTACTCATTTTACAGATAAAGGATACGGAAAAGAAACACCGTACTTTCCTTTTGTATCAGGTCTGTTGGCTAGGCAGCACATATGTTGGCCAGGAAGGTGGGATTATTGAGTAAGAATAGGGATTTTGTTAGATGAATTTTTTCTTTTCCTTACGCTATTTCTCTTTTGTTAACAAAAGTCAAATGCTAAATAGTGATTTATAGATGAGAATTATGTTGGCCTAACATTACATTACATATTAAACTTTTCTTAGTTGCATTTTGAAAATTGTCAAAGAATTGATTGTATAGTGTTTAAATCAAGTTTATAGTTAAGTTTCAGTGAACATTCACCAATAAAGATTTGCATTGAAATATCTGAGGTGGAATAGAAGTCTCACAAAAAGATCCCTTTCTAGTTGTCATGCTAACTTTTGATGTGTAGATACTAATTGGAAAGGCATCTATATAGATAGAATGATTTTTCTTTGTGTTCTTAATTTCTTCCAGGTGATTTTTAAAAAAATCTGTCCTATGATACTACTGTAGTAAGATTCAAATTAAAAGCAGATTATAGTTAACAATTTGGTTATGTCTTTTACCACTGTTTTGTGAACATTTGACAACTTAAATGTTTTTAAGAACTAAATTTTGAGAGAGCTGACTAGTAATTTCTTAGTTATTTTGCATAAATTCACATTTTAGTAAGCTGTACTGAATGTGAGCATTATCTGAAATGTTACATGCTGCTCATGTGTTCATTTAGGTAAAGTTATTAGGATTACTGAATGGGTTGCTGATTTTGGTATAGTTCTTTATCTTATACACCTAAGAAAATAGGCGTTTAAATGTAAAAACTAGGTTGTAGTGAAGTTTGATGGTGCTAGGAAAAAAACCTATACTGTTCTAAAGAAAATCAGGTAATAGTGAATATTAAGAACATTGAATATGTTCTGCCTTTCTTACTTTCTTCACCTAGGTAGATGTCTGGGATTCTGCGGCTTGTATTGTTTGCTGGATTCTTTTAGCTTAGTAATTTAGAAAGCCGCAAGATAACCACAGGATGGGTGAGAATTTCCATGAAGTGTAGATCAGTTTAAGTAGATTTATGGAGGCTTAATGATTTTTGAAAGATGATGGCTGCTTTTACATATCTTTTTCAGTCTTTGGTTTTGTAAGTTTATCATATCCTTTTATTTCATGGTGGTTAAATCAAGTGCTTCATTCTCCATTTTAAGACTACTTGCTTCCTTACGATCTTTTTATATAAACCTCCTATTCTGGTAAAACCTACAGAGAAAATTTTTTTAATAAATTATAAGCAGATTTTCCATTGATAAGAAAACATTTTCAAGTGATTCTGTTTTCATTGTTTGTTCCCATGCATTTAATTAACGAATTAGATTATTTTTTCCTCTTTGGACTAATTTTGATACAGTTCTTAAGATAGGATTTAGTAAACCATTTTGGTGTTGTTAAAGTTAATGATATAACATTTTTATGATATAATTTTTTGGTTTTCCTACTTAGTAATGTCATTTTTCTTCAAATAAAAAGTAGTTACAGTGTGCATGCCACATAAATTTTACATTAAGATTTAAGGGCACATTTGACCAGTGTAAACCGAGAATGTTTATACATAGTTGAATATTTCTTAAAGTTTATAATGTGTGCAAATGAGTGAGAGTCACTCAAATTAGTATTTTCTGACTGCTATAGAAGTAAATTGTCTACCTTTATTTTAATGTGCCCTATGGATGTATATATATGAATTGGCTATACCCCCTTTCTCTACTTCTACAAATCAAGGGAAATAATAACTTTTCCCCACTCCTGTCAACAACAGTAAAACCAAATCAACACTTGAATGTCTCAAAAAGCTTTACTAAATGACTATCCATCATCTTCAGAGTTACCTTGCAGTGTCTACACTATTAAAGAGCCCGTGGATCAATTTCCCTATTAAAATGTTAAAATAAGAAGATCAGATGTTGATTATCAAACTTAGTGTTATTTTCATAGAGTTTGATATTTGTGTATGCACAAGTGTGCTCTTTTTTTAACTGGTGTCGTTAACTTTGTTTGTGATTACAACTTGTGGGGGAAACCTGTTATCAAGTTGTTAGACTGGGTTTTCATCAGGAAGTCAGATGTTATACTTGAATTGTTGGTCCTTTGCAAGAAAACAGAATGCTTCTCTTGAGTGAATAAGCCAGGATAATGAGGCGAGGGGTTTTATTTCAAAGGTTTTTTTTTTTTGTTTTTTTTGGTGATGGCATAAATACATAACATTATAAAATCCAATTACTATATTAAATTTCATCACTTGTTTTTTAGGTATTCCAATAACTGTACCACCTCCAGGTAAAACTTTTTCCATGTTTTCTCCATCATTGTTAATAAACATGAAATTTCAAGCCTATAGTTACAGGAGGGACAGTGTTGATACAGTTAGAATATGGAACAGGCTATTGGGATTTCAAGGTCCTATTTTCAGCTCTGCCTTTGCTTCATTCCAGTTTTGACTAAGATAATTAGTTTTCCTATACCTGTCTTACCCATTTCTGTAGAAATAGAGATTCTGATAAAATTCTCACCATATCAATTTGTTGAAGAAAACTGAGTATAGGATAAAAAATAAAATTTTATAAAAATACCAAGGAATTTTTTTATATGATTAAGTGACTGCAAGAGGCAAGAAAGATAATTTATCTTGACTTTATTATAGTTTCTGATTTTTTACCTGGTTGGCATAACTCGCTATTATGAGAATATATGTTGTAAACCACACTATTAGGTAGATTGATAACTGGATAGATGGTTGTTCTCTAAGTTGGGATTAAATTGTTCGTTGTTATAATGGTATGATCAATAGTTTATATGTGGCCCAGTTTTATTTATTTATTTTTTTACATTTTTTAGGGGTGTTTTTGGTAGTGTGATGCAAATGTGATAGCAAGTGTGTTAACTCAGTTCAGAATTAAAAGCCTTGGAGCATAAGGAGAATGAGAAGTGATAGTGCTTGGAAGGGTGGGTCTAAAATCAAAATGACCTTGATAAACAGAAACAGTGGAGTTTAGATAGTATAGGTGAGTATACGTATTTACATGTGAGGTAGTCATTGATTAACTACAAATGTGGCTGAAAAAGACTTACCAGGAAAAGTTATAAAGGAATCATTGATGTCTTTTTAGTTTAAAAAGAAATGTGATTGTAAGACTGTATAAAATAGGATTGTGGACTCTAAGGACTAATGTGGTAATTGCTAAACTGTACACTGCTAAGATGTTCAGTAGAGGATTTATAAATCCTAAAACTAGATACAGTGAAGACAAACATGGTGAATTTGAAACAACTTGAAAAAGGGCCAAAACTGATTTAATTGGACTTTTGAGAAGGCTTATGAGAACTGGGATTCATTTTAACATAGAATATTAAAAATGAGGCCTAGTGGAAATGTTTTTAATGTGTAGAAGGTGTTAGGGAATATAACAATCGGTTGTTTCTTGTCTTCTTTCAGGATAGCATATGTGTTGCAGTGTGAGAAATTTAAATAATATTATTTAGTGGATTTCCTAATAGAGTTGTTAAAACTAGGAAGGAATTGCTCTCGTAAGTTGTGGAATCTTGAAGTCTTTGTTTGGGATTTTTTTTGCCTATCTGAATTTGAAAGCATAGAGTAGGTTAACTGTTAAGGTCCATGTTAGCCACATTCCATGGTATTTCATTTAGGGATTGTAAATTATTGAAAATACACATCTCATGATATAAAGATGCAAATTATTTTCTTTCCAAACTAATGTGAAACTACATTATGTGCCTTTCTTTGTAAAATAGTTTTTTAGGGTTGTGCTATTAAAACATTTTGTGATGGATATTCTCAGCCTTAAGCATTTATTATATCTACTGGTAAGATTTTATTTATAAATTATACATTTTAAGGAAATTTCTATGCATCTAAAACTCAAAATATTTTTTGAAAGATGTAAATGTTATTTTATTTGCTTTTCTTCGAAAATATTTCAAGTATAACATATCTGGTGGCAACACTACTGTTTTATATAAGGAAAAGGTAAGGCATTGAGATTAACTTTCTCATACTCACAAAATGGGCTGTGTGTGGTGCTGAAAATAAGACCGGGTGTCCTGACTCCCAGTTTGTGCTCTGTGTATTAGACCAGAATGTTCATTTAAAATTTTATTACTCCAAAATCTGTTTAGAAGTTTAAGCTCCATTTTTTTCTGTTCATTATAACATAGAGACGCATGTTATGTCCCCAGAAATATTTAGTGATGTGCAGCAACTGTGTTTCATTCTTGCCATTAAATGAACATTCTCTTAACTTTTATTTTCTTATGATTGAATGTTTCAGGTTTTCCTCCTCCACCAGGTGCTCCACCTCCATCTCTTATACCAACAATAGAAAGGTAAATCGTTGTGTATACTGTAATTTTTTTTATCGATAGACTTTTAACAGAAGAATCATATATATAATTTGGTAATATTTTCAAATATTTAATTTTATAAACAGCAGTATCTGCCTTTTATTTAATAAGTCTAGATCTATATTAGTTACTTTTATATAAGATGTTGGACCTATATAGCCCAATAACAAAACACAAAAAAGCTAAATGCTAGTATTTTGAAATATCTTTCTTTAATTTATGACACACTGATTAAAGAAACTCCTAAATCGATTTAAAAAAAATTGGCTATAGTCAATTTTGTGGGGAATACAAACAGATGACTGGTAATCATTAATAATGCATGTCTGTTTTAAGATTAGGTAAGAACAACTATTATTAGGGACCACAGTAAAGAAAAGCTGCCTTATTCCTTGCTACCCTGCTGCAACTCAACTTCCACAGTGGAGGATTTGCATGGGAATATCCTTATTTTTATACTCTGCATTTATGGCTTTTGTTAGTTGGAAAGCTGTACTAAAGAGTATTTACCTCATGGACGGCAAAATATGGTGTGTAACAGCATCAGCTTTGGAACCACAAAGACCTGGTTCAGATTTTGCCTTCATAATTTACCAGCTTTGTGTTGCTCGGCAAAGTTCATAACTACTCTTTGAGACTTAGTTGTTTGTTTTTTTTTTACCAAATGGGGTTGATAGAATTGCAAAGATTAAAATAGCTAGCGAATATAAAGTATCAGCATAATTCTTAATAGATAGAAATCACAAATAAATTGTAGCTATAATTATTTCTGCTTAAGTGACAAATAAACTTTATAAAAGTAGTGTATTTCTGAAAAAGTGATTTAAATGATATAAAAAGAAAAATTCTGAGAACCGTATTATATCAGTAGCATCAAACCATGCATATAATTTTCAAAGAAAATGATAAAACTCAGTGAAGTGTGACTTGTGAAGACATAGGATTTAATTTTATTAAGGCCTTCTTAAACATAGATTTGTTTTGTCAATCAAGATGTTAAAAGTATTATTTGTTGATTCTGTCAGTGGGACTGAATTTCTGATTTATAGCCATTGAGACCAATTTTTTTAAAGAATGAATTTTAACTAAGTTTTAAATACTGTTAGCCTCAAAGTTTCTGTTATCTTGTGAGTTAAGATGAATTCATTGAATTATTTGTGTTAAATAGTACTAGCAAGTTATATTTTTGTTTAAAACTGGGTGTTAGGTTTAATATTCTTGGAGGTTAAAAAGCCTGTGTTTTTAGTATTAAAAAAATTAAATTACAGAATTAAAACTTACTATTTTATTGTGATTAAAGAAGTCATAATTCTGCCTTTATGTTTTGTACCAAACTATTAAAATTTAGGACTTATTTGCAACACATAAAAATACATTTTTCTTCAACAGTGGACATTCCTCTGGTTATGATAGTCGTTCTGCACGTGCTTTTCCATATGGTAATGGTAAGTATTTTTAGTAATCAGATTTAATTTGAATCAGTAAAGGACTTAAATATTTTTATAGCAATAAAAACATACTTTCATGGTTTAAAATACTATCTTACAGAACTATTAAAAAATATTAACTGCCCTGGCCGGTTTGGCTCAGCGGTTAGAGCATCGGCCTGTGGTCCTGAGAGACCCGGGTTCGGTTCCCGCTAAGGGCGCGTACCTCGGCTGCAGTTTGTCCCCGGCCCTGGTTGGTTGTGCGGGTGGCAGCCACTCGATGTGTTCCTTTCACATTGATGTTTCTCTCTCTCTCTCTGTTCCTCTCTCTCCCTCCCACTCTACCTGAACAAAAAAAAATGGAAAAATGTCCTCGGGTGAGGATAAAAAAAAAAAAAATTAACTAATGCAGTAACTAGGTCTTATATATATGTAAGGTTACTTAACAGAATAATTTTTATTCCTTTATCAACTGTACTTTTAAAAATTAATATATGGTTATTTATAACCATTTTTTTCCTGAAAGGATTTAGGATTTGTCACCAAATGTCTGTTTTCATTGTCCATAATCTTTCTGTTTTTTTGACCCATAGTATCCAACTAACCTTATTCTGATACTTTGCCATCAGTGGTTTATGTTTTCTTCTGGATCATTTGTCTAGGTCCTCTATCATGTTCACTTTTTTGTTGTTGTTGTTAATTCTCACCCAAGGATATTTTTCCATTGATTTTTAGATGGGGTGGAGGGGAGAGAAACATCGATGTGAGAGAGACACATTGATTGATTGTCTCCCAAATGGCCCTGGGATAGAACCTGCAACCCAGCTACATGCCCTTGAGCGGGAATCAAACCCCGAGACCCTTAGGTCCAGCGCTGACGCTCCAAGTGCTGAGCAAAACTGGTCAGGGCTATCATGTTTACTCTTGACAACTTTATCCATTCCAAGGACTTCTGATTCCACTTTCTGCTTAGAACCCTTAGTCATTTATTCCTTTATCTGAAAAGTGCTGTGCATTGTGCTAGGTTTTAGAGATGCAGTAAACTAGACATAGATATGTTTGTCCTTATCAAATTTATAGACTAGTGAGGAAATAGCCAGGTAATAGAAGAGCATAGATACATGCTCCAAAGGGGTGGAGCTATAGATGGTGTGACTTGGAGTTCAAAACATGTGCAAAGACATGATGGTGAGAATGTGGTAGGCTTTCTATGAACTGAAAGAAGTATGGTGTGGCTGAAGTGTAAAAAATGCATGATGAATGCCTGAAGATGAGAAGAGATCATGCCTTGTAGTCATGCTATATAGTTTCAGCCTGATTCAGAGGGCTCTGAGGAACAGGTTAGTATTATGGTGAGTCATAAAATTGCAAGATTTACATTATAAAAGTTTCATTTTGGCTACCTACTGTGAGGAATTGTGGGTGGTAAAAAGGTGGAAATGGCTGAGATGCCTACTTAATTGGGAGAAGAAGAAGCTATTGGAGTATAGTCATGTGCTGCATAATGATACTTCTGGCAGTGATTGACTGGACCCACATATATGACTGATCCCATAAGATTATAATGGAGCTAAAAATTCCCATCACCTAGTCACTTTGTAGCCATTTTTTAATGCATTACTCATGGGTTTATGGTGATGCTGGTGCAAGTACACCCACTGCGCTGCCAGTCATATAAAATTATAGTACATACAGTTATGTATAGTACATGGTATTTGGTAATAAAATACTATGTTACTGGTTTATTTAATATACTATACTTTTTATCATTTTTACAGTGTGGTCTTTCTAGTTATTAAAAAAATTTTCTATAAAACAGTATGCCATGTTATGCCAGTAGCAGCCTCACACACCTAGTGTTTACTGCATCTCTTAATTGTTACATTTTCTGTTGTGCTTGATTTAATCTTGTGTTGTTTTGTATAGTAACATGCTGTACAGGCTTGTAGCATAGGAGCAATAGGCTATTCCAATAGCCTAGGTGTGTTGTAGGTTATACCATCTAGTTTGTGTAAGTATAGACTGATGTTTGCACAACAAGGAAATTGCCTAATAATATATTTCTCAGAACCTATCTCTGTTGTTAAGTGGTATACAACTATAATCCATGGGAAGAAATTATGGTGTCCTGTTTTTAGGTAGGACCATTGGGGATGGAGGAAATTGAATAGTTCAAAGGTGTTTTATACAGTAGAATTTCTAAGTCTTGGTGATATATTAGCTATAAGTATCAGTCATATACTTACAGTTATACCTTCTGGGTATCTTTATCAGAAGGTTTTACTGTCCTTCAGACCCACCTTGTTGAAAGCCACATGTGCCATTCATCCACATCAAAAAGTAGTCTTTCTGTCGACTGACTTGTTTCATAGATTATACCACCTTTTTTAGATTTTTTATTCTGGGTTTCCAGGAAGTCATACTCATTGGGTTGGAATCTTGCTTCACCCTCTCATTATTTATGTGACTTTTGTAGATTTTCAGCCATTAAATGGAGAGCACAATTTTTCTTATAAGGTGAAGTTCAGTGAGAATACATTAAAGTGCCTTAGTTCTGCCATTTAATAAACACTCAAATACTAGCTATTTTATTTATAATTGTCCCCACCATCTCCAACAAGCTCCAAATTCCCTTCCTTTTCTACACTGTTAGGCAGTGTAACATAATTGTTCAAGATAGGCCCTGTAGTTAGACAGCCTAGGTTTGGGTCCTGGGTCCATCTTATCTTAGTAACTTTGAATAAGTTAACTAAATCTAAAGTTTGAATACAAAGTGCTGAGCAAAGTGCCTGTAATATATAATTGATAAGCAGTACTTATTAAATTAATTAAAATGTTTACCTCTTTTATATCACTTGTCATTTTGTGCTTTGTGGTTAAATTCCTTGTGTATTTCAATACAGATAAACATGAGGAATAGCTCATATCAGAAAGAATAGGACTTAATTTTTGAGATTACATACATAGTTTCCTTGTGGACGATTTCATTTTTGTTTTGTTTTGTTTTGTTTTGTTTTGTTTTTATCCTCACCCGAGGACATTTTTCTATTTTTTGTTCAGATAGAGTGGGAGGGAGAGAGAGGAAGAAAGAGAGAGAGAAACATCTTCGTGAAAGGGACACATTGAGTGGCTGCCACCCGCACGACCAACCAGGGCTGGGGACAAATGGCAACCGAGGTACGCGCCCTTAACAGGAACCCAAGCCAGTTCTCTCTGGACCGCAGGCCGATGCGCTAACCGCTGAGCCAAACCGGCCAAGGCAACGATTTCATTTTTAAAAAATGCTCGTTAAGCATTTAACTTTTTCTCAAAGTAATATATGCAAAATTTTAATCTCAAAAGGGAGCATTTTCTGCTCACTGTTGACCACTCCCAACTATTCTCTGAGACCTTTTTTTTTTTTTTAATAAAAAGGACTTTTTAAGTAATAGCAATTAAAAAACATATTGCAAGAATTAAATAGAGGAAAGTTAGTTTCAGCTTAGTCAAACAAAGCCTTGGAATGAAGATGGTAAATACAACTTTCTCTTTTTTATAATTCTTTTTTACCTTTATTTTATTTATTTTAGAATTTTGTGATTCATCCTTAAATACTACTAATTATGGAAGGAAATACTTATTTTTCTTGATGCATTTTTAATGTTAAGATTGTGCTTATAAAATAAGACCTAGTTTAATTTTTTTGCAGGAATATGGAAGAATGTAAGCATTTTTAATGATTTTTAGTTCTGATGGTCTGCATGGCATTTCTACATAGGCTTATCATCCTATTTCTTGATTTATATAACTTCAGATATCACGTGTTATCATTCTACTATGATAAATGTATATTTTGTTCAATTACTAGCTCTATTCTTTTTCCCTACCAGGGAAATTATAACAGTATTTTTGTTTCTCTCTTTTTTTTATTTACTTGCCCTTTTTTTTTTATATCATTGATCACAATTACTGTACATCTTTCTAAACCTTCACCTCTTCCTCCCCTTCTACCTCCCAACTTTGGTCAGCTATACTCCTACTTATAACATATATATTCTGTACTGCAATCAAAATTATCTGTGCCCTGGCAAGTTTTTTATTTCTAACAGCTGAACAATAAACCTTATTTCATTATTATGACTGTGTAAATATTGTGTATTCTAGAGATAATTACAATACTAAAGCCATTCAAAGGAGAATGTTCCTGTGGCAAATATATTAAAATTACCAACATATACTTCAACTATGTAAAGTCATACCACATTTTAATGGGGTGCAGAGTAAAGGTATAATTGTCAGGTATAATTTGTTGAATATTTTATTCTTCCTGAGGGATCTGCAGTGTCATTTCCATTCATGTATTGAGTTTCCATGTATGCATGAATATTTTTCTCTGCTTTCTAGACTATACGTTTAGTTGATTTAACTACTGTCCTTGTGCTAATAATGCCATACTATCTTACATATAAATTTTATAGTAAATCTGCAATCTGGTTCAGCAGAATGTACCTTACTCAGCTTCAGAAGTATTCTTGAGGCATTGCTCTTACATATCCATTTTAGAATCAACTTTATAAGTTCTGTAAAAAACTGTTGAGATTGTGATTAATAACTGGCATTTATATTATGCTTATTATATGACAAACCCTGTTAACTCACGTAATCCTGACAGCCTTATAAAGTAGGCATACTGTTAGTATTTTTATTTTGTGGACAAAGAAATTGAAGAAGAGCCAGATTAAGTAATTACCCAATATCACACAATAAGTGGCAGAGTCATGATTTGAAACCACATAGCCTGGCTCTAGAGTCCTTGCTCTTACACCATAGTATTGGACTTCAGTTGATGCTGTGACATTCATGCCTTACAACATGATTTCATCTATGAACAAGGACTCACTCTTCATTTAAGGAGATTTTTTAATGTTTCAATTAAGGGCCTATAATTATCTCCATATACTTGCATATTTTTAGTTAGCTTTAGTCATAGACACCTAATGTTTTTGTTGTAAATGGTATATTCATTTGAACTCTGTGTT